TGTGTGTGTGTGTGTGTGTGTGTGTGTGTGTGACCAGAAGTGGTTGTTTGGTTTGGGAATTTATCATTCTGATTCTCTATAGATTCAAACTGACGGAACTTCTCTATGATATAAAAAAAGGCCTTGAGGGCACTTTAGCATTCTTTTCGTGCCTTGTGCAGAGCTTACGAAATGTAAGGGATGGTGAGTTGGTGAAGAGGCAATTTTAAATATAAAAAGCTCTCTGTTTTTTCACTTAACTTAACCATGATCTCAGCATGGATAGGAAATTTGAGAATATCAATGTAAACTTCTGTTGGCTTGTTATACTGCAGTTGCTGGCAACATGATAAGACTGTTGCGACTTTAAGTGGAAGGCCTGATGAGACCTGGTGCGTAATGCTACAAAAATGGGGGGACAGGATTGAAAAATGGATTGCCTTTTCATGTGCCATACAGAGCAAGCTGCAGTCTCGAGGAAAATATTTACAAAAGAAGTTGTAAAGGTTTTTCTTTTGGTGTATATTTGTAGAGTATTGCGAAATATTGTTAAAATATCATTATACTAATCCCGGAATTTTGAACATTAAAAAAAATCATTTCTCAATCCGTGGTATCAGCTACAAGTGCTCCAGAAACAGTCTGTCGAAATTCAAATTTTAAATGTTTTTTAAAAAGCAAGACAAATACATAATTTAGAGTTACAGTTGTTAAAAGAATGAAATAGTTATTTTCTCTCTGAAAAAAAAAAGCTTTCTGGGCCTATAACATTTTAACAGCTTGCCGACGATAAGCGGTATAAGAACACAACAGAATATGTTTTTTTGTGCACAAAATCACTCACGTTAATCTTGGGAAAACGTACACAGTCAAAGTTTTTTTTACATGTAAAGGTGTAAAATACAAAAATCTACTCTGAACGTGTCTGTAAGCACATTTTCAGCCACTCAACCAGCAATTTAGACTTTTTAATGTTGTTAGATAGTTCAAGACTGTCTCAGAATAATATCTTTGATTAAGTTTTAATTGCATATTATACCCAGTGCACCTATCATTGTCTAAACGCATCTCAAAACCCTGCAAAAAGCACAACGTACTTTACGGGATCTGAAAGAGTTTTGCGCTCAACACCATCCACTACGCCTGGAGAGATCCAGCTGAAATTCAAATCCCAGTCGGTGCCGCCACGATTTTGTTGCAGATTCTTCTTGAATATAAACTGAAACGTTTTCCAGTCGATGCTGTCAGTCGAAGGAACGGCCAAAACGGAGTCGTCCTCTTTGATTCTTTGCAGCAAAGGTTCCAGCCACCCTGGAAACAGCGACAGAATTTGAAATTTAAGGAAAATACAGCGAAGCAAAGGGGTTATGGCATCAAAGCAACAAACAAAAAATAGACATACAAACATTCAAACAAACCACTACCACCACCACCAC